AACCTATTGCAATAAAACGGCAATTTCATACTTTAACCCCTAATAAATTCACACCACTATAACCGCTAATAGTATAAGCACTTAGGATGATACTTCCATGTGAGTCGCATTAAAAATTAGGAGCGAATGCGACCATGTTGAGTGTGTGAGTTATTATTATTAAAAATATATATAAGTTCTATCTTAATTTCAGGTTTATTCCGTGCTGCTTCTTGGCGCCACTGTAATGGGTCTGGTGGGCGCATACATGGCTGAAAACGCGTTTAAAGAAATCCGCATCATGGTTGAGGGTCCATTGGAACTAAGACTTGAAGATTTCAAAAGTAACGTAAGTTTTACAAAAATGCTTAAACATAGCTTTTTTGAATAATAATACTATAAAGAAGAGAAGAAATGAAACTATATATTTCGAAACTAAATCGCTTATATTTGTTTTTCCAAACATATCAACGTTTCGAGTTTTTTCCCAATTCTGCGTTTTTTCCCAACGTCATCTTAAAAGCCAACTGTCCTCATTTTACCATTTTTGGAGTACCCTTTGATAACCGTTTCCGTTTGTCAAAGGGAAGTATATCCAATGTCAAAACCAATGTTTGGCCAAATGTTTTATTGAATTATTCGCATGAATTGTAATGAAATGTATAAAAATATAGACAGTGAGAACAATCAAGTATTCATTAAAATGCGTCGCTGTGGCATTAAGGGGTTGCGGCAGTGGAAAAATGGAAATCAACCGAATGTTACATTGCACTTATGTTTTACTTATTGTTACATTACGGCATGTGTTATTTTACTTCCTATAAATCATACCATAGCCCAAATATCTCATGTAATTAGACTCATTTAAGTAGTTTATTCATAAGTCTTGCCGAATTTTGCTTTGGTTACTTTAGATTGCCTGTTTGTTAGTATATTTTGATGATTGTTGATAACGATTATTTTAAGATAGTGTTGTTCTAGAAAGCAAACATATTATCGATATTCTGTTATTAAAACAATTCACTACGAGGTTTTTATTATTACATTATTATTATTTTTAAAGTTTACCTACAAATGAAAAAAGAAAGAAAATGGTTGGAAATTATAGGACTGCCGAACATAAACATTGGGTCAAATACCATCTTCGTTTGTTCGCTCCATTTTGAAGTCGAATTTTAATAGAACTTTGAATGTAACTAGACTACATGATAATGCAATGCCATCGTTACATTTATTGGTAAATAACTTTATATTTAGTTTTGATTAAATTGGCGCATTACTTGCCCAGCAATAATAGCCTAGTATTAGTCATACTTTGATTACAGTAAACTATACAAATTTGCAAACATAAAAAACAGTTTCAACATTCAAGCCATACATTTGCATCTCGATATTGACTTATCTATGAGTAAGGTACAACACTAAATCCGCCATTTGTGGTGGACATTTTTAGTTTAGGTAGGGACGTCTATTCCGTAGATAGGGCAGCTCCTTTCCTTTATTTTTTTTCCGTCCTCTAAGGACACATCTCCTGATAAAACTATTTTCCATTTTTTTTTATTGCGACTACTGAATTAGTAACATACCGCACTAGAGTCATTCGTTCTTTTGTTTATTTGCTAATGAACTATTGCTATACATTTTCTTTTGCATCTTTGTCGTTTAATCGTCACCGTAAAAACAACGAAACAAAAAAGGTTTTTTTAGTTTCAATTTTTACATATTTCAAATTATATTAGTTATTATTTACGTATTCTTAATTACTCGCATGTATTGAACTGTATTAAAAATGTTCTCCTCACCTTTTTTCGATCATTTTTATATTTTAATATTTATTTATGTCATATATATCAATAGTTGGTTTTTATAATTTCTTTTTATCTCGTTTGTCGCGCTCAATTTTTACGTTTATAAAATTACTGTGCAGTTTTAAAACATTTTGAGAACTGTCAAAAGCTGCTTTGACCATGGCATGTTTGGTACTGCGATATTCTATGCAACCGTTGGTCGAAGCGCTGGCGAAGTGACAAAAATGTGACGTTAGCACCATGACTTCACTTTTTTGTCACCATTGCCATTGTTATCTAATTCTATTGTAATAAAATGTTTGAAATGGTGGTTTTATCACTCAAATTTGTGAGCTATATGTAGATATAATAGCTTTATCGCAGCGACACGCGACGCCGGCTGAATTAGGTAATACGTACGTTTTGAAAATGTCTCGGCTGCATGTTAGAAATACCGTGTGGCCTAGGACATGTAACAGGATATTTAGAACCTTGTTTTTTTTTCAGTATTTGTTTCTGTATCACAGCCTTAATGCAGCGGAAAGGTCCTATTTCCGTAGGACGGTATGGGGTACATTAAATTGGAACCCTTCACTTTCTCCCTGGGACCCCATCAAGTACCTAAACCATATGAGAAAATTGATTCACAACATGACAGAGGCAAATACGGACTTGTACAACATGGTTATCCCATTCCTGAGAACTTTCGATGATTTCTTCAGCGATCTAAAGGTACGTACTTAGCTGCTTTCTGTTTATTTCATAAAATTGTCAGTGGCAATATATATGTAACAGTGAGGAATAATTTATTTTAATACTGTGACCAACTAGCGAATGACCAACTAGGAATCTTTAAAAGTGTAATAACGATCGACCGTATAACGCCATTTGCTAAGCTACGGAAAGAAAAACCAAAGAAATACCTTAATAGATTCTAATGATATATACATTAAGTTTGTAAACTTGCATTGGCTGCCACCGACTCCAAAAATAACTGATTAGATATTGTAAAAATTTAAGTATTAATATATTCTTTAGTTAGTGGTAAGATAAAACTTCAAAGCACATAACGTCACACACAGAGGTTTTGTGTTCCGAGTGAATTTCGAAAAATATTGTGAAAAAAATTACAAAACAGTTAAATAATCAATAGTTCCCTGTGAAAAGATACTCCATCCTATTTTTTTTTTTGGGGAACAACTTTTACAATGTTTAAAGAGACAAAATGGTATTTTCAAACGTAAAATAACTAATCATTGACGTGCAAACAATGCGATGCTGTGCTTAGTACTGGAGCGAATTTGTATTCGCTTTTGATTTTGTATTTGCTTTGGTGGCTTCACTTTCGTGTTCGGCGCTCTCCACTGCCTATATTTTGTAATCTGAGCGTAACGAATTATCATCCTTTTAGTTAACAATAATTTGACATATAAACCAGAGCATAAGCAATTATTATAATAACATAAATTAACTCAAATATTTGTCTACGCCGAATAGCAGTATAAACTCTTCTAGTAAGAGGTGTGTTCCCTTCGACGTGCAGTGGCAGAAAGATGCGCTTGCTTGTGCCACTCTGGTATTTATGCCTGTCCGTAAACAAGCTTGGAATGGAATAGGGTAGCAAAATAACACGTGCGCACGCAGGTGCGTCTGCGCACGTATTTCCGTTTTGCACAAACAAGCGTATAGGTAATTAAGTTTTATCTAGGGATATTTATTTACAATAATATTGTCATAAAATTAGACAAAAATTCTTCGCACAATAACTATTCATTATAACTACAATTCCTACTTTATGAAAAAATAACAACTGACAGTCGATCATCCTGCAGAGAACGTGAGTCTATATAAATCCATAACTAAGCTATTCAATACACAAATAAAGCTAATCAACAATCAACAGATAATGATAATTATGAAAATCAGTAAATATTTTTATATACATGTGCACATTACATTTATATAACTTATAAAAGCCCTTATGACATTAATGTAAATACAATAAAAAAATATCATTTGGACATTTCCGTTCTCTAATTATTACTAGAATTCTTCCGTCCTTTAACACTATTAGGACCCTTCCATCCTGTACCATTACTAGGACCCTTCCGTCCTTGCCTACGTAAGAAGCCTTCTTTTATCTTACGCAGCTTATATAAAAACATACAACCTTGGTTATGCCAATATTGTATATGGAATAAGCCAAAAACAGGCAATATTACTACTCCTATGCGCTCTCAATCAGTGCCCTGGTTGAAATGAAAACTGTATAAAAAAAAAGACAATTCAAACAATATAACAATCAGAAAAAATATTCAGACTACAAAAACAATAGCTCACTACTAATTTCTGATGATAACAGTATTATTATCTGATGATATTAGTATAATATTATGTCACACAATAAAAGATAAAGCAGGATATAATCAACAGACAAGAAGAGAATCTCAAATACGGGTAAACATAGAGCACCTAGAAAAAATTCTAGATAAGAAATTTGAAATTAACAAACAAGATTTATTGCATGAGTTAAAACTACTATTATCCAAGAAATCACAAATACAATACTACAGCTTAAACTAGATACATTGGAATCAACTAATGGTCTGATTGCAGACCAAAAAGACCTGAAACAAGAAATAAGTAACATAAATATGTACATACAGGGCTTAGAAGCAGAAAATCGTGAACTAAAGACTCAGCTACAAGAAATACAAACTATAATGCAAGGCTTAGAAAGCACTATAACGAACCAAAAAGATTTGATAATTCCGATTATTCTAAAAAGTTAATTCTATACGGACTTCCCGAGAACTCTTGGGAAAATGATTATGAGTTACATGATCGAGTTATAGGCGTATTCTATAGAATGTCGTCGTCGTGTCGTCGGGTAAACCTTACCGGTTGTATTGAAGAGATTATAATATTAGGAAAGGGGCAGAGAAGACCACTAATAATTGAGCTACTTAGCAAACAAATGAAAAGATACATATTGGAAAATATACATCTATTCAATAACTCTGGACTAACTGTCCACAAATACCTTGATAGAAAATCGATAGAACTGCGAAAAAACACAAACTCAAACACTGATAAAAGCAAGAAAGGAAGGGGACCACGCTACTATATGAGATAATATTCTGATAATAAATGGACGAAAATATCAAGAACTCTTCGATCCCCAGGGCATTATCCCAAAAGAAATCTCGAACGAAACGCAGGAAAAATATATACGATATCAAAAGAGCTTTGAAACATCAAATGACGAAACTGACCGTAATGAATCGAAAGATGAGAAATTGAATCCAGTACCCGCAAAAACACCAAGACAAGGTCACAGTGTGGTTGCTTGTAATGAGGCTGGTTGCGCAACTGCTGTTTGGCTGCTAGAACACGCAGAACCGGACAGCAAGGTGGACTTCGAATATCATCGTCCGGTCTCTGTATAGTTGCCTGTGTGCATGCTCGCAGGCACTCGAAGGTATTGACACGCTCTCGCAGGCGCTCCACGCGTTCGCACGCACACGCCCTTCTTTAACCAAAAGTTCTCTGCATACATTTCGCTGCACTGTAATCAGGTATCCGTGTTCCTAGCATTTAGTTAGCGTTTATTTATCAATATTAACCTCGATATGATGAGTTACAAATTTACGTTTTCATATTTTTAAAACAAAACCTAAAATCCCTAAAAACTTGGTTTTAGGAATAAAACCACCCGGAACCCGGTTTTTAGCTAAGGATAAAAAAACCGGGCTCCAAAATGGACGGTTTGCATGTCCTATCTCTGACCTTAATTGAGGTCACGGAACAACATACACATAGGTAAAACGCGTATCCGGAACGCAGTATTGCTCACATTAGCAGAAATAGGTGAGGTGGCAGTACTTCACTGGACGACCTATTTCAAAAGGAGCCCTACTGTTACAAACTTATTACACCTAGGATGCGGATATTGCAGTGACAACGCATTGAAAAGTACACTATATCACACAATTTGAAGTCTCTATCTTTCAACACTAAGGCAAGTTTTAATGCAAAACTCTGTTTTAATTCGATTGCTGAAGACTTTATTGTTTATTTCCACAGACACTAATTTCCTTCGACTGTACACACTCATCAGGACGTGTGTTCTGCACAATACTGTAACGCTCTCTGGCTGGTATACAATATGGTACATAATTTTTCAGAAAAAAATGACGATACAGAGAAACATACAACCGTTTATTATGGCTTTTTGGGGATTTCAAATATCCTTGCCTTGCAGCTTGTTGCTCTTCAGATACTTAAGAATGCGAGTTTACGGATATCGTGTAAGTACGATAATATTTTATGAGATACATTGCGTAGCCTGAATATGTTTTAATTCCATAACTCTTTTTGCAGCTACCAACATGTATGCTGCTGATATTTTCCTGGATGGCTGCCGCTGTATTTGCGCCGCTAGCAGTAGGCGTTAGTGACTTCTGCATGGATCCAACCTTCAACTTTTACCACAGAAGTCCGTTTCTTAAAGGCCTAAAAGACGAAGTTTCGTAACACTTTTTATATATTTTTTTATAAATTAGACGATCAAATGCAAAAAGCAGCCAAGTAACGCCCTTTTTACAAAATTACTCTAAATTCCGCATTCAAAATTTATTCATAATAAATTGTACATTTATATCAATAATCTCAGTACAGGCGTCGAAACTTGTCTAGTCATATCTCAACGGTAGAATTCAGAAAGTAGACATAAATGGTGTGACTTCTTTGGGTTCTCCGGTAAAAATGGGTGTTCCGCAGAGCTCAATACTTGGGCATTTCTTATTTTTGATTTATATTAATGATCTGCCATTCTTTGTTAAGGACCATTGCGAAATAGTGTTGTTTGCTGGTGACACATCCTTGATTTTGAAAACAGACAGACATGACATTAACTATGACCATATTAATGATACCCTCTCTAAGGTAGTTTATTGGTTTAATGCTAAATTCAAATTCAAATTCAAATTCAAAATAATCTTTATTTCATAGGTAAGCATTATTACACTTGAAATCGTCACAATGGTTAAACTCTACCGCTCATTCGTAAGGCAGATTCCCCTGAGAAGAATGAGCAAGAAACTCTAGGGGTTGCTCTTTGTAAATAACATTTACAATATTTTTTTATTTGAAACATCAGATTGAGACTACCTCCATGAGCTAAACGGGTTACTACCACGGATTTTTGTCATCCAAGTACGCAGAAGTTGTATAATAACCTTTAGTATAAAGTTTTTGTTTCACTATAGTTTTAAACCTCGTGAAAGGCAAATTTTGTATATCAACCGGAATCTTGTTATAGAAGCGTATACATTGCCCCTTAAATGATTGTTTGACTTTGTGAAGACGACTATCAAGAAAAGCTAGTTTATTTTTATTCCTCGTATTAATGTTATGTCTGTCACTATTTTTCATAAAGAAATTACTATTCCTTTTAACATAAATTATATTTTCATAAATGTATTGTGAGGCTAGTGTAAGAATGTTAATTTCCTTAAACTTATCTCTCAAAGATACTTTGGGGCCCAGATTGTAAATTGCCCTAACTGCACGTTTCTGCAGGACAAAGATTCTATTGATATCGGCGGCATTACCCCAAAGCAAAATGCCGTATGTCATTAGACTGTGAAAGTAGCTGAAGTAAACCAATCTAGCGGTTTTGACGTCTGACAATTTATTGCTTAATGCCAGGAAAACAAAATGTGTTAAATTTGAATTACCTAACATAAAATCGACTAGTCCAAGCATAGAAATAAAAGGAGAAAAGTTAGACTTTGTTAATAAAGTAGTCTTCTTGGGAGTGACCTTAGATAGTAAACTTCAATGGTTTCCACATATATCTTCCCTGGCCAGCAGATTAAGCTCCGCTGAATACGCAATCCGCAGAATACGTGAGCTCACCGATGTTAGTACTGCTAGACTGTTTACTTTAGTTACTATATTTTTCTTTGAAGTTTTAATCAGTTTGAAAGCTAGTCTTTAATTTTGCAAAGTGGTCCCACATTTTAGACAACTAGGACATTGTATCTCTAGTATTATTTATAGTCACTGCATTACAACAAGAATGATAGATAGGCATCGATTGCATTATGTATAACAATCACGAATACCTAAGAACTCTATAACCCTAACATATTCTACGTACGGCGACAGCGTCACTGCCAAACATCAAAAGCGTTGCTTTGCTGAAGGGTAGATCTTGTAATAAATACTGTGGTCAATTTCAAATTAATGACCTTATGAACAATCATTTTTAAAGTCGTTTTACGGTATAAACTAATTTTGCTATTATTTTTAATAAGTTTTCTTTCATTCTAAAGGTGCACAGTGTTTCCACAAATAAATCAATAAATTGTGAACAGTTCCATATTTTCCGTTTACATACATTCCGTTCTAACTCTAACTTACATTTTTGCAGGTAGTGAAGTACTACATATCGTGCAAGGGTGGAAAGGCCGTCGATTTCTTATATTCTTGGGAAATGGCATTCTTGCAAAACAAAACATTCGAACTCTATTACTATTGTAATACTTGTATGTTTTTTTCTAAATAATTAGACGATATCCGATATTAATCATCTTACTGCCTTTGTGGCTGAACGGTTACCATACTAGACTGCCAAGCAGGTCTTGGGTTCGATTCCCGGGCCGGGAGAAATATTTGGCCTATATATATTTCATTCGTGAGTTTGGGTGTAATTTGTGGTTGTCTATGTGTCTGTCCATGGCACCCGTGATACAGAGTTTCTTAGTGCAGGACTACGAGTGTGTACGTTATTATTATATATAAAAAAGCTACAAGTTCTTACTCACTGATAGAAATAGAACGCATACTTGCCGATATGGCGGAAAAAAATGTTTATACCGTTGTACGCGGATAGGCTCCAAAGCAAAGAATCAAATATGAGAGGACCTGAATAAGGTAATATGAAAGAGTGATCAACGGCCTGCAAAAACTATAATACATGGGGGGGGATTTGTGCACTTTCATGATATACACCCTGGTCAATTTCCGCGGGAAGTAAAAAATGTCCGAAATTCAAATAAGCAAGATGGCCACGCCATACAAATTTCAAAGCCTCGTATCACGGAAACTATTAGAGATATGTAGGAGATGCTCGAAGGAATGTCATTGAGGGTAGCACTGGTCAACTGCCTAAGTTATAAAAAAATCAAGATGGCGATTTCAAAATGGCGGCCGAAGAAAAACTTTCTTCGATTCGGCTGACAATTGGCATGCGAGGGTCTTTAGGAATCCTTAATCATAATTTTAGATTCGACTGAAAATTGGCATGTGAAGGCCACTAAAAATAATTAGGACGGAGCGGATAATAATTTGTGCTCAAAATTTCTTTTTCGCTATTTTCAAATATGGCCTTCATAGAAGAATTCGTTGGCGGCAGAAAAAAAAATGCTCAGATCCCTTTGAAAATTGGCACATGGGGGACTAAATTATTATCAAGGAGTGCTTGATAATAATTTGTGATCAAAATTAGTTTTTCGCCATTTTTAAATATGGCCGCCATACAAACTCTTTTAGCGGCAGATAAAAATTTGCACTAATTCGATTGAAAATGGACATGTCGGGGTCTTTATAAGTGTTTAATAATAATTAGCGGTTAAAATTTATTTTTCACCATTTTTCAATATGGCTACCATACAAACTTTTTTGGCAATAAATACAAATTTCTTCTAATTCCACTGAAAATGACATGTAATCGTAATTTGGAGTAAAAATTTTGTTTCCTCTATTTTTCGATATAGCCATAATTTATTTACGTGACTTGCTTTGTTCGGACTGAAAATTAGCACGAAAAGATTTCTAAGATTGTTTGATAATAATTAGTAGTCATAATATATTTTTGTAATTTTTAAATATGACCGCCATTAAAGAGCAATTAATTTGTTTTTTAAACAAAGTCCTAAGTGCCGAGGCCGCAGGCCGAGGTCCGCGGAGGGAGAAGCCCGAAGCGTCCGCACGCCTTCGTATGGAGTTAATTATATACGGAGGCGTAATAGATTACGAGTACAAGATCTCACAATTGTAAAAATGTAAGGCATACTTGTACCGATGTAGTGGAAATGAGATACTTATTATAGCGTTGTTGTATCTCAACCATATCTGTTAGATTCCATTTTCTTGAAAGCTATGCCAAAGATAAGTATTTAGGGGGGAAAATGCCAAACTACTGCCGAATTTCCTGTACTATGAATACCAAAACAACGACAATCCAGAATACTTATACCAAAACCAACTTAGAAATGTTCGTTTCTTAAATTGGCCTCCTGATCAAGCGCCCAAAGTACTAACTGCTGAGCTACCGAAGAGCATGAGCACACCCCGTAAACTGAACCCGACCACGCGCCGCAGGCCGAGCCCGACCCCACCGTAGGTGCGGTACAGGGCTCGTTATATATATTATTATCAATCGAAAGCGAATAACAAAATTTGTACATCGCACATTAAAATAACAACTTTCATTTATTTATTAGGTAAACCAACAGCTTTAAACCAAATGGTAATATAACAACTAAAGTCTAATAATAGATTTTTTATTTTTTTTTAATAAAATGTAGGCGCGCATTTGACCTCCATCTCACCTGATGGAAAGTGACGATGAGGTCGACGATGGAGTATGCACACCTAAATAATGCCTATTCACTCTCGCCTTGAAAAGGTCCAAGTTATAACGTTCAGGAAACAAGCCCGCAGGCAGGGAATTCCACTCCATAGCCGTTCGCCATATAAATGTAGAAACGTAACGCTTCGTGCGAATCTTTGGAATTTCCACAACATAGGGGTGGAACCCAAGCCTACGCCTAGTCCCCCGGTGATGGAAAGGGGTAGGCGGAATTAAATCGTGTAATTCCATCGCACTTTCTCCGTGATATATCCTGTCAAATACCGATAAGCAGGCAACAGCGGCGGTGTTCAAGGCTCTGCAGCTTCGCCTCCACTGATTCCGAGTCACCTATAAGCCTCTTGGCACGGTTGTCAATTGAATCCAAAGTGGCCAGTTGATATGTCGCAGAGCCATCCCAAAGCAGTACTCCATGCACGATCGGACTTGTGCTTGGTACAGCTGAAGCAACGGTCCCGGTGTAAAGTAACGCCTCACCCTGGAAACGATCCCAAGCTTCCTTGCTGCATTTTTGGCCATGGATTCAATGTATCTGCCGAAGTTCAAATTGGACGACAGGTCCATTCCAAGTAGCTGGAGACAATCGGCTATCGGTATGGATATATCACGAAAAATTGGAGTCAGCTCAAAGAGAATCTGTTTTGTGGTGAATAGACACGCCTGCGTTTTGGTAGCGTTAAATTTGACAAGATTGGCATTACCCCAATCGGAGACTGCCTAGAGTGTCAAATCTAAACGGCTAACCATGGACTCTCGACAAGACTGGATTTCCTCTCCACTGACCCTTGCATTGGTCAAGTACCTATCTACAACTGTGCTGTCATCAACATACGCAAAGGTACGTGGAATTAACATATCATTGATATGCAGCAGAAAGAGAGTTGCAGACAGTACGGAACCTTGAGAAACTATCTATCTATCGCCATCTATCGCCATATGTTCGGAAGAGTAGTCTTCTAAGACCACTCGAATCGAACGTACGCTCAAGAAATCCGAGATCCTATTGCAAAGGTCAGTGGGAAGCCCATAAGAGGGAAGCTTACTTAGAAGGTTTGCGTGGCAGACCCAGTCAAAGCCCCTACTCAATGTCAATAAAAATATTCAACGAGCTTCCACTCATGATCCGGAAGGAGGATAAATATTCAACGTTTGTTAATAAATTAAAATCGTTCCTAATACATAACTGTTATTATAATTTAAATGAATATTTTAACGACAAACAAAAAATAATAAGTGAATTAAATTTGACTAATAAATAATAAATCTTTACTAACTTTAACAAATCTTGACTAATTTTAACTAATCTTGACTAATTTTTACAAATCATGACCAATTTTAATAACTATGGGTACTTTTAATACGTATGATTAATTTTAATAACTAAGAATAATTTTTAATAACCTAATTTTAATACTTATGACTAATTTCGAGTCATTTCCAATATAAAGCCTCAGCCTACCTCTTATTGTTACCCCATAAATTGGGTTCATATGTGGAACTTTTTTAGTTTTAAGACCTCGTACATATACCATATGAATACAATGAATAAATGAAATGAAAGGGTTTAGAAATGTCCAAAGACACTGCAAGTGCTTCGCCCTGCTGTTCTATAGCCTCGCTCCATATGTGACAGGTATACACAAGAAAATCCCCAGTAGATTGCCCTCGTCGGAATCCGTACTGGCGATCACTGAGGAGGTCGTTGTCTTCAAGGTACGATAGGAGACGCTTGTTGAGTACACGTTCCATAGTCTTGCAGAGTATGGAAGTGACTGAGATAGGTCTATAGTTGACAGGGTCAGCTCTGCTTCCCTTTTTAGATACAGGTTGCACGTTTGCAAGCTTCCACGACCTGGGAACTACATCGGTCTCAAGTGAGAGGCGGTACAGGCGTGTGAGAACAGGAAACAACTCAGGCGCACAGTTACGCAGGACTATTGCTGGAATTCCATCTGGCCCGCTAGCTTTATTCACGTCTCGATTTCGCAGAGTTCTAAGTACCTCTTTTTGGCGTATGCGAACTGGCGCCATAGTGCAGCCAGCCTGAGTTAAAGTAGGTGGTAGGGTCCCTGCAGCATCTAGACGTGAACTTTCTGCAAACAGTGAGGCAAAGAGATTCGCCTTCTCTTCCGCAGTATGAGCTAGCGAGCCATCCGGCCTCAGCAGAGGTGGCAAAGATAGGCGACAAAAGTTAGATTCGACCGCTTTGGCCAGGGTCCAAAAGGATTTGCTGCCTGCTGGATAAGAGGCAAGCTTGACCCCTATGCGGCGCACATGGTCGAACTTGGCCCTACGTAACATGCTTTTGCACTTCTTGGCGGCCTTATTAAACTCTGCCAAACTCTGCCATATTTAATACAAAACGTTAACATGTTCTGCCGCAATGAAAATGAAGTGTGACTATAGTCTCACACAAACAAAAATCGACAACACTAGCTTATTTTTACAAATACACAGATACAACACACATTCATGTCATGTTCGTACACAGAGTAGGCCTATAAAAAAATCGATTCTCATGAATATGCTAGAGACGGAAAGTGATCGACGTGATGGTGTCGATATGTATTACGTACTGGTTAATCATCATCATCATCTGCTGATGATTATTAACCTACCGTAGTCCAAAGCTGGACATAGGCCTCGACCAATGCGCGCCATTTCGCCCGGTACTCAGCTCGCTGCATCCATCTGCTGCCAGCAGCCCTTGGCAAATCGTCTCTCCATCTGGCCATAGGGCGTCCTACACTACGTTTGCCGTGGTCTCCACTCAAGAACTCACTTCTCCCATCGGTTATCAGTTCTCCGACAGATATGGCTATAGCCCACTGGCACTTCAGCTTGCTTATTCTACCAGCTATGTCGACAACCTTAGTTATCTGTCGGATAACC